GAACAGAAGATTTCATTGTCTACAATGATGCATCCAAGTTGGGTTTGGGCTGTGTGTTGATGCAAAAGGGAAAAGTAATAGCCTATGCATCTCGCCAGTTAAAAGATCATGAGAAGCAATATCCAACCCATGATATGGAATTGGCAGCTGTTGTCTTTGCACTAAAGATTTGGAGGCACTACTTGTTGGGGACCAGATGCAAGATATTCACAGACCATAAAAGCATGCAGCATCTGTTTACTCAGAAAGAACTCAACATGAGGCAGAGAAGATGGATTGAATTGGTAAGTGATTATGATTGTGAAATTCTTTACCATCCAGGAAAAGCCAATGTTGTAGCTGATGCTCTAAGCCACAAAGAGAAAAATGGAACTATCAAAGTTGTGGCAATGAGCATAAATCTATCTCTGGACCTTCATAAGGAGATACAGAGATATCAGGCAGAGGCTGTTCAAGTAGATCACATCAAGGCAAAAGGATTGGGAAAGATGCTTGCCAACTTAGAAAAGAATGATCAAGGGTTGTTGTGTTTTCAAAACAGAATCTGGGTGCCATGCCATGGGAATACAAGGAAGATCATTTTGGATGATAGTCACAGGTCTCGTTACTCAATACACCCAGGCACCAATAAAATGCACAAGGATTTGAAAGTGTTCTACTAGTGGCCAAGACTAAAGAGGAGCATAACTGAGTATGTTGAGCAGTGTATGACATGCCTGCAGGTAAAGATTGAACACCAAAAACCTTATGGAAACTTGCAAACCTTAGAAATACCTGTCTGGAAATGGGACCATATAACAATGGACTTCATAATGAAGTTACCCCGAACACCAAAAGGCCTTGATGCAATATGGATAATAGTTGATCGATTGTCCAAGTCTGCACATTTCATGCCTATGAAAGAAAGTTATACTCTTGAGAGGCTGGCTCAACTGTATATTAAGGAAATTGTTACCAGGCATGGAGTTCCATTGTCTATTATTTCAGACAAAGATAGCAGATTCACTTCTAACTTCTGGGGAAGTTTCCAAAAGGCCTTGGTTCTCAAATCCATTTGAGCACAGCATATCACCCACAGACTGATGGGCAAAGTGAAAGAACCATTCAAACTCTGGAGGATATGCTAAGGGCTTGCATAATTGATTTTGGAGGAAGTTGGGAAGATCACCTGCCTTTGATTGAATTTGCATACAATAACAGCTATCATTCCAGCATTAAGGCATCCTCATATGAAGTTCTGTATGGGCGTAAATGTAGAATTCATGTGTGCTGGAATGAAGTAGGTGAAAGGCAGTTAATAGGACCAAAAATTGTGCAAATCACAGCAGAGAAAATTGAGCAGATTAGAGCCAGAATCAAGACTGCTCAAGACAGGCAAAAGAGTTATGATGATCAAAGAAGGAAACCAATTGAATTCTATGTGGGAGATCTGGTAATGTTGAAAGTATCTGCTTGGAAGGGTGTAATGAGGTTTGGGAAGAAAGGCAAGCTCAGTCCAAGATATGTTGGGCCTTTCAAAATTTGCAAAAGAATTGGACCAGTAGCCTACCAGCTAGAGCTACCAAAAGAGCTTAGTCTCATCCACAACACTTTCCATGTCTCCAACTTACGTAAGTGTTTGGCAGAGGCCACCCAAGCCATCTCACTTCCAGATATCAAGTTAGATGAGAAGTTAAACTTCCAAGAGGCACCAGAAGCTATAACTGACAGTAAGGTCAAGACTCTAAGAAATAAAGAAATCAAGCTGGTAAAAATTCAGTGGAGGTTTCATAAGGGTTCTGAAGCAAAATGGGAGTTGGAATCAAAGATGAGAACCCATTATCCTTGGTTGTTTGAAAGGTGAATTCTGGGACAGAATTCTTTTGATGGGGGAATAATGTGATAACCAGGCTTTCAGACATATTGGGTTAACGTACATTATGTGTTTATGTGTTAATAAGCATGAATTAATTGGAAGTATGTGATTATGCATGCTAAATAAAATGGATTATATGTGTATGTGGTGTGAATGATTTATGTCCACATAATTGGAAGCAGCATACAAGCACCTTGGTAAGCARCTTGTATGATGCTGCTGAATGATTTATGTCCACATAATTGGAAGCAGCATACAAGCACCTTGGTAAGCAGCTTGTATGATGCTGCTGTTAAGAAGCCTTTTTGACCAAGTATTTGTGTTTGCTTGTCTATGAAGTAATTTCCACCGCCTGTTTTCTAAAAACCACCTGTGTGTGGCTATTTAAAGAGAGATGTGGTAAGAATCCTCCCTTACCATTTGCATCTCAAAGAATTTTGTGGAAAGAAGAGTGTGGAATTTTTGTGCAAAAAGCTGATTGATCAAAGACCTTAAAACAGAAGCTGTTTTTAACAGAACCTGTTTCATATTAAAAGTTGTTGTTTGCTGCAGAATCTGTTTTGGAAAGGTGAGTGGTTTTGAAACTAAACTCCTCATGTGTTTGTGGTATAAACTATTTTGATCTTAATTTGGAAGATGTTAAACTGGTTTCAAACAGCTGTTAAGTTGTTACTGTTTTTAGCTGCTGTTTCTGGGTAACCAGAAGGCAGATGGTGTTTTTTTAAAACAGACTGATCTATGGTTCTGTTTTGAGGATCTAAATGAGTTTAAACAGCCATGATTTATGAACAAGAGTGTTCTTATGGTTCAATCGGGTTTTGAAATATAAACCTGTGGGGGGGAACCAGAATTGYTRTTTGGAAAGAACATGAGTGTTCTTATGGTTCAATCAGGTTTTGAAATATAAACCTGTGGGGGGAACCAGATTTTGATGAAACTATGAACAGGTTCACTCTAATAGGAATACTGCAGCCAGTTAGTTGGATGAAATACTTCATATGATTTTCAGGGGAAATAATGTTGGTCGTGTGTGGTTTGTGATAGCTGTTGCTATGATGGGGATTCTGGATGTAATAAGGATGGTCGTTGTRTGTGCATGGTATAACTATTGCTATTATGTCTCTTAGGATACAACAGATTGGAGTTCTCACTTCTTAGTGATTTGAGGATTAAGAGATGTTGTTCTTATTAGATATGATAGTATTGATGTTAGGGATTGGGAAAAATATGGCCCTTGGTCATGGATTTTGCATAAAACTGTTTTGATCATACTATTGAACCAGAGGTACCACAAAGGCTCTGGGTATACTTGTCAAGTAACCAGAGGGCTTTGGTTGGTATTTATTTTAAAGAACCAGAAGGGTCTGGTTAGTGTTTGAAAACAATGCAAGTGTTTTTGCATAGTCGGTTGTGAGAATCAGAAGCTCTGTATCTGTTAGATACAGAGCTTTGTATCAAAAATTGGTCTATCGCACAGAAGCTCTGTATTTGTTAAATACATAGCTCTGTATTAAAATTGGGTTTTTGGGCAAAGGCTCTGTATCCGCTAGATACAGAGCTCTGCTTTTAAAATAAGGCTTCCGCATATAGAGGCTCTGCATCTTCTAAATAAGAGCTCTGTATTAAACTTCCTTTATAAAAGTCATTTTGAGAGTTTTTATACTTGGATTCTTTTTACGAAAAATAGACCAGAGGAGCTCTGGTTGGTCTTTTTTTAGACTGGAAGCTCTGGATTGAGGAACCAGAGGCTCTTGTTAAACTTAAAGCCTTTTATAAATATTTTGGTTTTGAACCAGAGGTTCTGGATTGAGGAACTAGAAGCTCTGGTCATAAATCTAAAAGAGTTTTCAAATGTTTTTATACTTGGCGAACTTCCTTATATAGTCCAGAAGGGCTTTGGATGGCCTTGAGCGCTCGTCCGGAGGGGCTCTGGATGGTCTTACGCGCAATTCCAGAAGCTCTAGTTGAGCGTGCATGTATTGTCCAGAAGCTCTGGAAGAGGAACCAGAGGGGCTCTGGACCTCTTGGCGTCAAATTTTCTAAGTGTTGATTTTTGACCAGAGGACCGATGGACCAAAGCAGAATCTATTTTTATGCCACAATTTGTGATAAAGGTTTTGGTGTTTATCACCCTGCAATGCATGAAAAAGGGGGATCTCACTAGACTGTTGTCTAACCCTCATTTTGTGTGTTTCATTTATGTGTGTGCAGGTAATACCAACTATAGTGATAAGGGGAAAGGCATACTATGATTCTATTTTTACTTGTATGCGGGAAGATAGGAACTCATAGGAATTACATTTGCAAGAACTTGTATTTGGAATTTTTGAGTTGTGTATTT